TTATGGGAGCAACAGTTCAAGGGTGACTTTCCTGAATCGGTTCAAGAGGAACAGCAGGGATTGTCGAAGGAAGATCATCAATTCATGGATTTTGTTTCACAGTCAGCTAGACTGACTAATGGGCATTATTGCATTGGTCTTCCACTTAAAAACGAAAAGGTAGTCATGCCAAGGAATAGAGCAATCGTGGAACAACGGGCTCTGAATCTTCAAAGAAGGCTTCAAAGAAACGCTTCTTTTCATGCTGACTATACTACCTTTATGGAGAGTGTTATCACTAAAGGTCATGCTGAAAAGGTTCCCACAGCTGAACTGGAACGACTTGATGGACGTTTATGGTACATACCTCACCACGGTGTGTATCATCCTAAGAAGCAAAAGATCAGAGTGGTATTTGATTGCGGAGCATCATATCAAGGAACATCATTGAATGAACATCTTTTGCAAGGTCCAGATTTAACAAGTCCGCTGTTGAGTGTTCTTGTGCGATTCAGAATGGAGTATGTTGCCATGATGGCTGACATAGAATCGATGTTTCATCAGGTTAAGGTAAATCCTTATGATTGTGATCTCTTGAGGTTTCTTTGGTGGCCTGGAGGAAACATTGATGCCAATCTGGAAGAATACAGAATGGTTGTGCATCTATTTGGAGCAACGTCATCTCCAAGTTGCTCTAGCTATGCATTGAGAAAGTGTGCAGAGGACCATAAGGATCTGTATGATGCCAAGACCGTGGACATTGTCTTTAATAACTTCTATGTAGACGACTGTCTTGTATCTGTGCCTACAGATTCAGAAGCTGTTCTATTGTACCAGAAGCTCACAGAAATGTGCGCTAAAGGTGGATTCCGATTAACCAAATGGATAAGCAACAGCCGCATTGTGTTAAATGCCATCCCTGAGGAAGACAGAGACAAGAAAGTTAAGACCTTGGATTTGGAACATGACGCGCTACCTTTGGAAAGAGCATTAGGTGTGCAGTGGTGTGCTGAGTCGGATGTCTTCAAGTTCAAGGTGACCATCAAGGATAGACCTCTTACTCGAAGAGGTATTCTTTCTATCATTAGTTCCATCTATGACCCTCTTGGCTTTCTGTCTCCTGTGATTCTACGTGCCAAAATTATACTTCAAGATCTGTGTCGAGAGAAAATTGGATGGGATAGTATTATTCCAACAGTGTATACTCGGCGATGGACGAGTTGGTTGGAGAAACTTCATGAATTGGAGAAATTCGAGGTCCGTAGGTGTTTAAAGCCGGAAAACTTTGGAGAAGCTATATCTGCCCAATTGCATCACTTTTCGGATGCCAGTGAGAAGGGTTATGGCATGGTGTCGTATTTACTACTTCATAATGATCAACAATGTGCCCATTCCTTTCTTTTAATGAGTAAAGCAAGAGTGACTCCTTTAAGACCTATTACTATCCCTCGTCTGGAGCTCACAGCAGCCACACTGGCTGGTCGCATGGACAAGTTGTGGAAGAGAGAGCTGAAGATAAAACTTCAGGATTCGGTATTTTGGACCGACAGCACCTCTGTTCTCAAGTACATCCAAAATGAAACTTCTAGATTCAAATGCTTTGTAGCCAACCGAGTTGCTGAAATTCGAAGTGTTTCCGAAATCAGCCAATGGAGGTATGTGAATTCTTCCAACAATCCAGCTGACCTAGCATCTAGAGGTCTAAAGGTTGATTCATTCTTAAAGAACCAGATATGGATTTCTGGTCCTCCATTTCTTGTTCAACCACAAGAGTTGTGGCCCGTGGATCCTTCTGATGTAGGTGTGATGTCTTCTTGTGACCCAGAAGTGAAAAGGAGTGTTCTTGTGAATACTGTGCTAGTTCATGAAGAGTATGATTTTATGCCATACTTTAATTATTACTCTTCATGGATGCGATTGAAAAAAGGCGTAGCTTGGATCCTTCGATTCAGGAGTATTCTAAAAGATCTCGGCAAGGAAAGGAAAAGGTTGATGACTGCTTATTCTGATATGGACAAGTTGCAACGAGAGACTGTTGTTAAGAAAGAGATACAAAAATTCAGATCCAATGTGTCTGCAAAATTGTTGTCTTCAGATGAGCTGGAAAGAGCTGAATTGGAGATTATCCGTCTTTGCCAAAAGTGGAGATATTCTGAGGAACTGGCTAGTCTACGGAAAGATGGATTGGTAAAACGGAATAGTGAACTCTATAGACTTAATCCTGTGCTTCACTCAGATGTCATCAGAGTTGGTGGGCGTCTGGACAAGGCTATGATGCCTGAAGAAGTTAAGCATCCGGTAATACTGGCCAAGGATCTACACATTTCAGATTTGATTTTGCGGCAAATTCATCATGACATTGGACATTGTGGACGTAATTATATGCTGGCTAATTTGCGGCAGAGATATTGGATCCCTGGTGCTAGCACGGCTATAAGAAGAATTCTGTCCAGGTGTGTGATCTGCAGACGTCTTCATGGAATCCCGGGTCATCAGCAGATGGCAGATTTGCCACAAGATAGAGTCACACCTGACAAACCGCCATTCACTTATGTTGGAGTAGACGGTTTCGGTCCCTTTGAAGTAAAACGAGGAAGGAGCGTTGTAAAACGTTATGGATTGATATTCACATGTTTGACTATAAGAGCTGTTCACCTTGAAATAGCAAATTCACTTGATACGGACTCTTTTATCCATGCATTAAGGAGATTTATGGCACGTCGAGGACAAGTTGTCGAGATCCGTTCAGACAATGGTACAAACTTTGTTGGTGCCCAGCGTGAACTGCAGGAGGCCATGAAAAACTGGAATCATAATCAAATCAATTCATTTCTGCTTCAAAAGGGAATTAAGTGGAACTTTAATCCCCCGGCTGGTTCGCATTTTGGAGGAATTTGGGAACGGCTTATAAGATCAATAAGGAAGATTTTAAATTCTATCCTTAGAGGACAAAGTTTAGACGAGGAAGGTCTTTACACACTCCTTTGTGAAGTTGAATCAATCCTTAATAATCGTCCAATATCCAGAGCATCTTTGGATGTTAATGATTTGGAAGCCCTTACTCCAAACCATCTTCTCCTCTTGAAAACACAGCCGTCTTTATCACCTGGACTGTTTAAAAGGGACGATCTGTATTCACGACGACGTTGGCGACAGGTCCAATACATGGCGGATCTATTTTGGAAGAGATGGATCGGGGAGTACCTACTTCAACTACAAGAGCGCCAGAAGTGGCTGGTGAAGAAACGCAATTTTCAAGTGGGAGATATTGTGCTTGTAGTGGATGATACTGCTCCAAGGAGCTCATGGATAATGGGCAAGATTATTCATATCACACAGGATAAAAGGGGATTGACACGTCAAGTAAGAATCAAGACCAAGAGTTCCTGCTTGACCAGACCCATTACTAAAGTCTGCCTTCTTCTGGAGACGGAGGACTTCTAACTATTCTATGATCGACTGACTAATTGACTGACTGACTTATGAGAGCTCTCAAATGACATACTGAAGACTTTGACTAAAGACTGTTTGATTGACATGTTTACTTCGATTGATTACGGACACTGTTCGCACATTGAAGAATTGGACATTCACACACACACCCACAGACACATACATTTGTGTATTGTTTATTTGAGATACGATTTAGCGATTTCTATGTATGCAAGTAAATATTCAATGTAGAATTTGCAAGTTTGTGTTGGATTGTTATGATTATTACAGTGTTGGGGTGTAATAATCAGGGGCTGGAGTGTAGGTGCCAGGTTTGGGTGATGTCTTTTATTTTGAAATTTTTACTTTCAGTTTGTTACGTCACTTGGTTTAGGTGTATATTACCTGGTTAGTTTGCGTGTGGTTAGCATGTAGGAAGGGGGTGAGTAGCTGGGACGCTCACTTTCTGTTGACCGTTTTCCTTTCGTTTATTTTATTTACATTTAATTGTTTTATGCTTACTTTACCGTCATCATTCATCATGTTTCTGTCAATTTCAATGTTGCAATAAACCACCTGGACTCGCAGTGGAAACGCGTCAACTTTATTCCCTCTACTCAGCCTCTTAGCGGTTACTGGCTGCCGCTACAATGATCATTTTCAGTTTCTGCGCATATAGAATGTTATTATTTTAGTGATTAATGTAGAACCAAAAGATCAAACTAGCTATATTGAGATTAATTTGTACATTATGCTGCTGTAATTATTTATCTGTAGTGGTTGAGGAAGATGAGCGTCATTGTTTTTGTGTTAATGTTTTATCCGTCATAGTGAGAAATAACAGTATTGTCTTTCACTAGAGCAGTTTTACAGGCTTTTATCATCTATCATGACTCTGATAATGTGTTTCTAACAGCAAACACTCAGAATAAAGTGAGATGATCTGCTGATGATCCTGAATGGCTTGTTGAATGAGTGTTGATAGTCTAAAGCTCATCAATATTAACAGATCTGCTGAAAACACTCTTTATTTCATGACAATAGTTCCTGTTTTCACCTCATTTATTATGCTGATGTCTTCAGATCTCCTGTACATTGACACTTAAAGCTCGTTTCACTGGTGTCAGCAGACTGAGGGGATTTGTTGGCTATGTAGCCTGCGTTTATGATTTTAACAGTTTGTCTTACCATTATTTATATTTGGAAGTGTTTAAATTATTTATATTATTTTCTTTATTTCTAGATACCTGTATCTTAATGAAGAGGCAGAATAATGTTAGTATTAGCATTAAAAATAATTAATGAATGGCATCAGTTACTGTACGATTAATAGATAGACAGACATAAATGCTTATGAAGTGTCATTTATTATAAAAACAAACTCAATAATTAACATTTTTGATTTTGGCAGATCAGCTCCTCCCACACTGGAAACATCATCAGTGAAGCTCCTCCCACTGCAGTCACATCATCGGGGAAGCTCCTCCCACTGCAGTCACATGGTCAGTTAAGCTCCTCCCACAGCAATTCCCTAATAAATGCTGTAAATTCCCATCAGCTACAAGTGAAGCCGAGCGGAAAGTGAGAACACGAGTGATCCAGAACCCTGCAGAATGAAACACACTGAAGATCCTGAAGAACAAAGAGGTTGGTGTTTATTCTTCATTCATTCATGATGCTGGAGAACATTCATGTTAGAAACATTCAAGCACTTCATCACTTTTAGATAAACAGTTCAACTATGAAATGGTACAGAGGTTTTTTTTTTTCAGGCTTATAAAATGTGTTAGTTTAAAACTAGTTAAAGCCGCGGTCGTGAAATGACGTCATATTTTGTGTCAGCTTTTTTACAATCATAAATTCAACATATAACTAATAATTAAAAATAAACAATCCACTCCACTTGAATGCTAAACGCTTGTGTTATTTCTCACAGGGTTATTCACTTGAGCTTGTGTTTCTGGTGTCCCACTTTCACATGCGTATGAATGGAAGTCAGTGCAAGGAAAAGTCTAGTACAAATGGCCATTAATAATTCAAACGTTTTTAGTAAAAAAAATATCAATCTCAAAGTTGGTGTCAACATATCTCAGTATTGTATATTTTAGTGTTAATATCATGTTAGATAATTGTGTCATAGTTCTTGCTAAGAAACATGGGATTCGTGCCTATAATGCTTTAAAATAATAATTGGAAGATACATTTTCCTCATTCATGGAAAGTTTAAAGAATTTATAAAAAGGAATCAAATTATCATAATATTTTATAGCAGTTTTCGACTTTCTACTATTCCACCAGGGCTCACTTTCATGTCCTTTCACTTTATATTTCTCTCTTTTAATTATTTTGATGTACTGAAATATTTAATCATTTAAAAATGTTTTCTTCCGTGTCAGACCTGATGGAAGAGAGCGAGGAGAGTGAAGAACTGAGTGAAGGGGAGGAGGAGCATCATGTCCAAGCTGGAGAAAAACCTTTGAGTCGCTCAAAGACTAAAAAGACATGTCTAAAGAAAAGAAGAGCCAAGAAATCTTTCACCTGCACTCAGTGTGGAAAGAGTCTCAAAAGCAAATCTAGTCTTGATGGTCACATGAGAATCCACACTGGAGAGAGACCGTTCATGTGTGATCAGTGTGAAAAGAGATTCTTAAGCAAAGGTAATCTTAATGCTCACATGAGGATCCACACCGGAGAGAAGCCGTACTCATGTGATCAGTGCGACAAAACATTTGCTAGTGCATCAGAGCTGAAGTCACACCTGGTAGTTCATATGAAGGAGAAGCCGTATTCATGTTCTGTGTGTGGAAAGAGTTTTTCACGGCTGCAAAATTTTAATGGACATAAGAAAACTCATATTGATGTGAGAGAGTACATGTGCTTTGAGTGTGAGAAGACTTTTATTTCAGATAGACGTTTAAAACTGCACCAGAGAATTCACACTGGAGAAAAACCTTACAAGTGTTCACACTGTGACAAGAGATTCAATCAATCAACAAATCTGAAAACACATGAGAGGATCCACAGCGGAGAAAAACCGTACAAGTGTTCACACTGTGACAAGAGATTCAGTCAGTCTGCAACTCTGAAAAAACATGAGAGGATCCACACTGGAGAAAAACCTTACAAGTGTTCACACTGTGACATGAGATTCAGTCGAACAGAACATCTGAAAACACATGAGAACGTACACACTGGAGAAAAACCTTACAAGTGTTCACACTGCGACAAGAGATTAAGTGACTCATCATCTCTGAAAAGACATGAGAGGATCCACAGCAGAGAGAAGACGCACACGTGTGATCAATGTGGAAAGAGTTTCTCTTCTAAAACTCACCTGAAGATACACATGAAGATCCACACAGTCTGAGATCATGGACGAGTAGTTTATTTTAATGTGCTGCATGAGCAACAAAGTCTCTTCTGTGTAAGTTAGCCACACATCACTCTATAGCCAAATCTCTCCTAGCTAAGTGATATAAACTGTACCCATAAAAGGAAGTATCAGGCCAGGTAAGTTGTAACCAGTAACGTTTACTGGTTTACAGGCGACTGATATTTTCCTACCAACTTTCCAACTTTTGCTGCTTGACTTCACGGAGAAAGGATCATTATGAATTAATAATAATTAATATTAGCCACAGAAGAGGTGCAGTTTTTGCAATTAATACTGGCCCACAGACTATAGGAAGAGACAACTAAATAATTATGTATTTTGAGTGACTATTCCTTAGTCCATCCACACATGAAAATTGGACAACTAGTCTCTCACCTTGCAAATAGCCTGGAGTTTATTTTGTGAACTATCTCTTAGAACAGCTGATTTGCAACAGATAGTGTAAGTCAGAGTGTGCCACCATTATAAGTTTACACTATCTGTTGCAAATCAGCTGTTCTAAGAGATAGTTCGCTCAAAATTCATAATTATTTAGTTGTCTCAATTCTTATAGTCTGTGGGCCAGTAAAAATAAACCACTCTCTGATTGAAACACCATCTTGAATAAATTAGATTTGTTTATTTTAACATTAAAATATCATCGTCATCATTCAAAGAATTCAACAATATATTCTGTTATGGAATTTTTTTAATTTACGGTGATCAGTAGTGGAGACTACTAGGTCATGTGTTTTCTATTGAACCGTCAATGTATGTATTATGTTCTAATTTCATTTCCAGTAGATACTGCAAAGGAATGTCACATGGTTTTGCCATCTGCAGAGAGATAAGAAAGGGGGGACTGTTTCATATGCCTGGGGAGGCGGGGGCATGACACTCCAGAAAACCGGACGAGCAAGGGACCTCTGTCCTCCAGGTCACCTAGGCACGAGGGCCTAAGAGGGTTAGCTAGTCAACAAATCTGAACTAGGAAAATGGGTCCTTTGTCTGTGGAAAATTACTGGGAGGCAACCCTATAGAATGGCCAAGTGGAAAAACAAGTAAAAAAAAATGTGGTTTTGCAATACCAATGCATAACCACTGAACCACTTGAGATGTATTGATGCCCTAGAATATTGTGTGTCCGATCTTTGTGGTTTTTCATTGAATCACACACATCCTCTCTGTGAATGCAAGTATAACTGCCTTAAAACGACCGGTTGCTTTGTGCTCAGATTCCTTTGTGCCACTTGCTCCTTCTTCACTGGTCAGGGTCTTCTCCAAGAGTCGCAGATTTCTTTCATAAAAAGATTGCTCAGCTTCTTGTCGTGACTGGTCAACTAAATGCCAGTGTAGTTTCTTCCATTCTGTTTTAGAGAGGCGTTTGTGCTGCTGTTTGTGCTGATTCACTTTCTCATCTAGTTTCTGTTTCTGAATCTCCTGAATGCATTTCTCACTTTCATCAAACATGTCACTTGTAAAGTGCGCCCCTTCATTTTCTTCCACCATATTCTCTATTTTACTGATCAGATCTTTGATCTGTGGGGAACTGGCAGACTCGTTGTCCAGACAGAAGAACCGATTTCCACAACTGTCAACAAGTTCTTTGAGATCTGGATCACCTTCCTCTAGATACTGCTCAATGGTTTTCTTTTGCTTCTCTAAATGATGTTTCCTAACAAAGTTCGGGAGGAGCATGTTCAGATAATTAAACACATGTGGAGCACATTCAGGTAATCAAGCCTAATTAGACACGAGTGGAGCACACTCCCAATCAATGAGGTAAGAGGTATATATTCAGCAAACTTAACTCAGTTCTTTGACAGTCTAACAGCATCCCTCCACCACCCCATCTCCTCACTTCTTCTCCTAAATACTCTTACAACAAGGGGGAGCACTCTGGGTTCGGGCAAAAATTTCCGAGCTCGGAGCCCTCCCCCTGGACAGCACGCCAAATACGCATAATCTTTACTCTGTTTAATTGATGTAAATGTGAACTCGTGAATTGATCTTTGTAAGTAAAGAGGATCATGGTGTATTTTAGTATGTGTTCTCCAAACACTTCTTTGAGATGTTGCACTGTGTTTTTCTCCTCCTCAGTGAATCGACCCACTCTAATAACGATAAGAAAAGCATGTGGTCCTGGAGAAGCGTATGCTACACATTTCACTATTTCAGTTTTAATCTGCTCTTTACTGAGTTCAGTATCATAAAGTCCAGGTGTGTCGATCACTGAGATCACTTTACCAAACCTCACTGTAGTTTCTAAATTACTCTGTTTCGTCTGAGAGATTGATCCGGCTGTGGATTTGAACACGTTTCTGCCGATGATGGTGTTTCCAGTGGCACTTTTCCCACATCCAGTTTTTCCCAGCAGAACCAGTCTGATCTGGTCTTTCCTTTCAGAAAACACATCATTCCCACCTGGATCTTCAGCTGCAGACTTTCCTGAAACTATAGATCAAACAAATTAGGTTTTATTAACAAAGTTCAGGAGGAGCACGTTCAGGTAATTAACACAAGTGGAGAGCACTCAGCAATCAATGATAAGAGGTATAGACTCAGCAGTCTCTCCTCAATCCATTGACAATTTAGCAGCATCCCTCCACCGCCCCTTCTCCACACTTCTAGTCCTAACCACTTACATACGGGGGGGGGGGGGTACTCTGGGTTTGGGCCGAACCCCTAGCCCTCCCCCAGACAGCACGCCAAATACACATTAAACTTTACTCCCTCAAATTATATTTAAGTGTGAACTCGTGAAATCAGTAATAAAACACTTCAGGGATAATTTCCATATGACCAGTGCAGCAAACTACCGATGGACACTTATTGAACAAATCACTATGAGCCCTATTTTAACGATCTGAAATGCAAGTATGAAACGCGAAAGGCAAGTAACTTTGTAGGCGGATTTCGGGCGCTGCTGCTATTATACCGGCGGGATAAATGACTCTTGCGCCCAACGCAAATCTAAAATGGGTTGGTCTGAAGTAGCTACATTACTCATAGGTGTGGTTTGGGCGTAACGTGCAATAAACCAATCAGAAGGCGCGTTTCCATTACAGATTTGCACAAAACTTTTGCGATATTTTCTAAAAGTCGATAAAAAACTATTGCGAAATGACGGCGTTTCCATTAACCGATGTTATGCGACTAAAATGTATTTTTTTTCCTCTCGCGATAAGTCATTCCAAAAATCATGGTAACGGATGTTAAGGTTTATAGCCTATATCACAGCAACCGCACTAGACATTATTATTATTAATGGAAGGAGACGTGGTGTTATCCAAGCATTAATGACAGGTAAAGACCCTTAAACTGTGAACGGCACATATAGCCTAAGGAGTTCCTGGCTGTTTCTCCCTCATTTCTGCTCCGAGGTCTTGATTGTGGCATTTCTTTGAGGTTTAGAATCCAGTATTCCTGTAATTATTATTTCTTTTATGAATTTAATAAAGAACTTTGTCTCCTATTATGTCCAAACGGTCAGTGTACTTTTGTGTCCATTCGTTTTTCCGTATTTAACCCGTAATTGCAAAACGAAAAATGAACGGTTGTATTTTTAAAGTGCAAAGTTGAACACCAAAATTTTAATTTCAACTGTACCTACACACCAAATGCTGCGCAAAAAAATAAATATCGACGAATTTTCTGATTTTTGTTTATGACTTTTTGCCCCTTTATTAAACATTTAAAATATTGACAAATTGGTTTTACAAGGCCAAATTAGAACCTGGAAATTATATTTTCCCCGCAGTGCTGATTGAGAAGAGCCATATAACCACAGCCTAAAGAAAGGTGAGTTAAAGGCTATAATAAATGTGTCTGAAAAAATAACACGGCATTTTAATTGTTTATTAATAAGAAAATCAGTGTCGGCTAAAACATCTCCATCTCCGCGTAAGGCGCATGCACCTTTGGAGAGAAATGCACCTTTCATATGGATTACATAATCAGGAGATATTAGCTTTCGATTCGAATTGTTCGTTTTAAAGTGGACATTTCAAGCTTTAGCATATTTTGTTTCAGTTCTCGCGCTTCAGTTCACGGAGACCATGAAAGCGCGCCTGATTGTTTTATTTTACTTTACAAAAGCACAACGTTTTCTTGTTATTGTGAGTTTACACAAATAAAAGTAGTTGCGAATAATGTATTATTATTTTCTGTATGACCAGAAATTATAGAGTATTTTAAGTTGTTTCCACTGTTGATAGGAAAATGCAAGTGTTCGCGCCCGCGCCTTCCTGCCATGCAGTGCGCGCTCACACTCCCACACACACTTGGATATGCGTCAAAATCTTGTTTATATGTGATAATATTAGCCCTGTATTATGAATGAGATTTGACAAATTGCTTTCTTCCTTTTGGATAAAAGCGTCTTCTACATATGTAGCCTAATAAATGTTATAATAATGATGATAATTATTATTATTATTTGCGGACATGGACCCCAAACACACCGCGTCTTCTAAGTCAGGTGACTGTAAATGCGCAAAACCCGTTTCCATTGCAGTTTTGCGAAATATTCCTTTTTCGAATTGCCTGAAAAACCTCCTCATGCGAGCGTAAAAACTTTTTTGCGATAAACGGGAGTTTTTGCGAAATGGACGTGTTTCATTGAGCGTATTTTCAATTCGCAATTTCAATTTGCGCAATTTGAAGGGTAATGGAAACGCGGCTAGAGTGGCGGTGAAATGATGCAAATGTTCCTGCACTCCAAGGGGGGGAAAGAAACTGGCAGCATCAAAGAAAATAGAAGTCAGTAAATTTCTTTGTAGAGATGACAACAGCCAAATTCTCCCTGGAAAGAAAGACACCATGACCAAAGGAAAAAATAAGCAGCAGCGCAGAGTGCTCTTAAGGAATCTGAAGGAACTTCACAGTATGTACAGTGAAGAGAAGTTAAAAACAGGTAAGGAGTTAAAAATGTCATACAGACAGTTTGTGCGCCTGCGACCCTTCTTTGTGAGCCAAAAACAAGAGATCGCAACACCTGCGCTTGTCTTGATCATGAAAATGTTAGGCTGCTTGCAGAAAAGCTGTTTCATAGTGGAGTTCTGGGAACATCAAGCACATCTTCACTTCTCTCACATATAGCATGTGATCAGAAGAAAAAGGATTGTATGTATCGCATATGTCCACATTGCTGCTACTCTGAGATAGAGGTGACGTTACCCGAAGACAAAATCTCAAGGGAAACTACATGGCAGCAATGGAGAAGAGAAAAAGTAAACAAAGATGACAAGGTTTACACCAACTTTGTTAAAAAGGTGGAAACAGGGTCATGGGAAGAGCTTGTTAAATCCTTCAATCAAGCACTAGATTTGCTCTCAAAACACCACTTCAATTGGCTTCATCAGCTGGAGGAATGCAGAAAGCTCAAAGAAAACCTCAGTGACACAGAGGTAGTTGTCCATATCGACTTATCGACTATGGATGCAAGCTAAGCACAGAGATCCAGGCCTTCCATTTTGGTGGAAGTCGAAAACAGGCAACCATACATACCTGTGTGGTATACACAAAGCAGGGGTGCAAGTCGTATGCCACCATCTCAAACAGCCTCCGTCACGATGAAAGAGCTGTCTGGGCACACCTTGAACCAATCTTTAAAAAAGTGAAGGAGGAGAACCCAACCATAAACAAAGTTCACTTCTTAAGTGATGGCCCAGTGACACAGTACAGAAATAAAAATAACTTTTATCTTCTGAGCACAGTTCCTTTCCTTTGGGGATTTGATGAAGTCACATGGAATTTCTCTGAAAAATCCCATGGGAAAGGGGCCCCTGATGGAGTTGGAGGAGCCATGAAACGTACTGCTGATGCCTTGGTGAATATGGGTAGAGACATCCAGACCCCAGAGGAACTTTACAGGGCTCTCAAGGAGAACAGCTCAGCAATAGATCACTTCTGGATTCCAGAGGAGGATGTGACCAGATATGATGAATCTGTACCAAGTAAGCTCCCAGTTGTAAGGGGTACAATGAAGATACACCAAGTTGCTGCACAAACCCCTGGAAAGATCACCCACAGAGAGCTGTCCTGCTTTTGCAGGCGAGGAGAGATCTGCCAGTATACCCACAAAACAGCAAGCACTCGATTTGATTGGGAAATTTGTTGTGGTGATATATGATGCCCAACCCTTTGTGGGCCAAGTTCTCCAGGTGGTGGAAGATGAAATTGAGGTGAGCTGCTTGAGACCGGTGGAAAGAACTCATTTGTGTGGCCAGAGACACCTGATGTCATCTATTACTACACGTCTGAAATCCATGCAATCATCTCTGAGCCAGAGCCATACTCTAATCGCAGTGCTCAACTGTGCAACCAAGATTGGAGAAGGTTTAATGAGATGAGGTTATAACCTGCAACTGCAAGCAAAATTTCATTGGTTGTCATTTTATTCTAAATGCTTCTGTTATTTTAGACAATGTCTATAAAAAAAATGTAGTGTTCATTTAATTAAATTTAGTGATTCAAGGTACTCGCTTTTCGAATAAAGACGTCGCCTGGCGTTACAAAACAACCCCTTCAGTGGATCGAAATTGGACGTAAAAAATGACATAGAAACGACGTCACTCTGACGTCACATTGCGCAGTGGGATATGCAATTAGAAAAAGAAATCAAATCAAAGTTGCTTTGCGAATGGCCTGTAACTAGACAGAGGTCAGAAAAACCCAGGCATTTTTTCATGACGCATGGGGAGCGGCACGAGCAGTTAAAAAAAACTGTAATCTTTTGCGCGGCGAAGCGGTTTTCTATAATCTATAATTTTACTGTGAACGAACCGAAAAAGGACTAAAAACATTACTTTTTAGCAGAACTTATGATTTTTAACAGTGTACAATAATGTTGTTGCACTATTTCTCCATATTTTACACTGATGTTTTTACCTTGTTTTTATGATCTTAATGTGTTTCTAACAGCAAACACTCAGAATAAAGTGAGATGATCTGCTGATGATCCTGAATGTCTTGTTGAATGAGTGTTGATAGTCTGAGGATCATCAATATTAACAGATCTGCTGAAAACACTCTTTATTTCATGACAATAGTTCCTGTTTTGACCTCATTTATTATGCTGATGTCTTCACATCTCCTGTAAATTGACACTTAAAGCTCATTTCATTGGTGTCAGCAGACTGAGGGGATTTGATGATTACAAATATGTACATTTATTTCTATGTTTATGCTTTCAACTGTTTTTCTTACCATTATTTATATTTGTAAGGATTTTCATTATTTTGTTTTCTAAATTGTAAATATGGCTATATTTAAAATGAAGAAGCAGAATGATGTAAGGGTGAACAATACAATGAATGTGTGAATTAGCACCAGTTACTTTACAATAGACAGACAGACATAAATTCTTAGATGTGTCAATTCGTATAAAAAAACTCATTAAATTATATATTTTTGCTTTTGGCAGATCAGCTCCTCCCACAACAATCACATCATCATTGAAGCTCCTCCCACATCACTAACATCATCAGTGAAGCTCCTCCCACCGCAATCACATCATCAGTGAAGCTCCGCCCACTGTAATTCTCCAATTAATGCTGTAAATTCCCATCAGCTACAAGTGAAGACAAGCATCAGAGCATCAGGAAGAGCTGAAATCTGCCAAGACTGAGTTTATTAAAGAGGACAGTGAGAACATGAGTGATCCAGAACCCTGCAAAATGAAACACACTGAAGATCCTGAAGAACAAAGAGGTTGGTGTTTATTCTTAAAGCAGGTTTACATTTAGATTTGTTGTAATAAGAAAAATCTTTACAGCTGTTGAATAATGTGGCAACAAATAATAAGGGACACTTTCTATGAACTGAGGAAATAAATTCCTGACAAAATGTATGTTAGATAATTGCGTAGTTGATCAAATTAATTGTTCTCTTCATAAACATGGGATTTGAAATAATAATTGTAAGATCAATGTACCTCATTCATGTTTAGTTGCAGGGATGTATACTTAATAAAAATGCATCAACATTGTTTTGGATTTTTTTTAAATAGAAATTGCCTAATGTCCACTGTTACATCAGGGTTCACTTTTATGTCCTTCACTTTTCTCATTTAAATTTTTTTTTTTTAGTTACTGAAAATTTATCGTGTTTACCTTCGTTTCAGATTTGATTGATGAAAACGAGGAGAATGAAGAATTGAGTGAAGTTGAGGAGAAAAATCATGTCAAAACTGGAGAAAAACCTTTGAGTTACTTTCAAACCAAACAGAAAGATTTAAAGAGATCTTTCACCTGCACTCAGTGTGGAAACAGTTACACAACCAAATATAGTCTTGAGCGTCACATGATGATCCACACCGGAGAGAAGCCGTTCTCATGTGATCAGTGCGGGAAGAGTTTCATACAAAAAGGAAGACTTAAGGAACACAACAGAGTTCATTCAGGCGAGACACCTTACAAGTGTTCACACTGCGACAAGAGATTCAGTCGATCAGAACATCTGAAAAGACATGAGAGGATCCACACTGGAGAGAAGCCGCACACGTGTGATCAGTGCGGAAAGAGTTTCACAGATAAAGCATATCTTACGGGTCACATGATGATCCACACTGGAGAGAAGCCGCACACGTGTGATCAGTGCGGAAAGAGTTTCACAGATAAAGCATATCTTACGGGTCACATGATGATCCACACTGGAGAGAGACCGTTCATTTGTGATCAGTGTGGAAAGAGCTTCACTAAATCGGCACACCTTAAGGAACACATAAACATCCACACTGGAGAAAGGCTGTACACATGTGATCAATGTGGCAAAACTTTTTTGTCGAATTCAGCCCTGAAGACACACCTGAGAGTTCATATGAAGGAGAAGCCGCATTCATGTTCTGTGTGTGGAAAGAGTTTTTCACTGCTGCAATATTTACAAATACATGAGAAAATTCATACTGGTGTGAGAGAGTACATGTGCTTTGAGTGTGAGAAGACTTTTACTACAGCAAAGAGTTTAAAACTGCACCAGATTATTCACACTGGAGAAAAGCCGTATCACTGCACTGCCTGTGGGAAGCGTTTCAATCATCCATCTTCTCTACGCAAACATACCAAACATCACTGTAAGTAGATCCTCTTCAGATCCAGCACTTTCAGGTATGATGCCGTATCTTCGCCAAATGTGACACAATAATGCATTAAGCAATAAAATATAATCTGGATAAATCTGTCCTAACCAGCCATAACATCCGACATGAGAAAGAAATGTTATCTGAACTTTTCAGAGTGAATAAAGACTTTAAAATCTTTAAAAGCAGCAGATTCAACTGTGGGATTCAGATCAACTCAAAGTTCCTCCCAAAGAACAATGTAGAAAGCTTTATTCTTGTATATCATTTTGCTAAATTATTTTGTTGTGCATACTTATGAGATTCATATTATGGTCACTTGTCTTATAATCCATATGTATCTCATGTATTGTGCTTACTCTTTCATGAAGGAAAGTAAAAGCGTAATCGTTCTTGTTCAGGAAGCTGAAGAAGAGGCTGTAACACACACACATTTATTTTTATTTTTGTTTTTCATTGTTGTTTTTAAAATGATAATTATTCTTCCACTTATGATTTATTTAGAAAACCCAGATGCAAAATTCTATATCATCATGATATTACTGTCATAATATCTGAAAACCATGAAGTATTATGTTTGCTTTTTGGGTTCTCTGTTTAAATTTCTCAATGCTTTTAATTGCCTAATAAACTATACTTTACTCCACACACGACTGAGATAGAATGAAACGGCTGTTTGTCTACATTATTTGTGTTTGCTGTGTTGTTGTGTTTTGATGTGTTGCAACTCAGACATTAGACATTTTGAACTTAAATATAAACCCATATTGGATTTAGCATCCCGAATTAACTGTGAAAATGGATTTTATGCAGAAACCATGTTTTGTTTTGCAGATTTACATGGTTGTAGTTCAAATAGAGAGTAAAAAAATAGTAGATTGAATTCATTGTTTTAAAAAAACAACCTAATAAACATAGTAACTTCTCTGCGTATCTAAGGTGGCCGGCCATGGGGATTTTAAAACACATCTTATCAGTTACTTTATTCTCTTGAGAGTATTCTCTGAGATTAACATTACAGTATTTCTATTGGACTTTCTGTGCATCTTGAGATCACCACCTTACTGTATATGTGACACTTTCATTTTTTTTTTATTGTTTTTAAAAATGTGTGATACTAGATCAATGTAAAAGGACATGATGAAAGACATCCAGTTAAAAAGGTACTGGAAAACTGTTGGGAATGTGTCTATGGATGTATAAATAGTTTTGGTTGGGTAGCAAATAAGAAAGCACAGGAAACTAGTTTGGAGCAACCCGGTCACACTAAATGCGTCCCTATAGCACACATTGGGTCTCATTCATGAAACATTCGTAAATATACGAGTAAATATGTGACTGATTACTTCGAAAAGAGACCTTCCCGAAAACTCTTCTCCAAATACTTCGTAAATGTTAGATGTGATAGTGAAATGTGTCTCATCGCAAGTGTTGGGGCATCTGAAGTCTCCGTGAGAGGCTGGATCCAATCTGGAGCTACGAACGCCATTTACCTCGAGACTCGCGGGAACCGTTCGTTGGACCATTTTTCCTGCCGACCAAAATTTCGTTATTTCAAATGTAGGCGCGTTGCGTGTTGCAAGCGCACTCGAGATGCTGGCGCGACCACAACATTGCAGTAGTAACACTCACTGTAACCATGGGAGTTTGGCAGGAATAGTAGGCTTTATAATGCTTTCAAGTAAGATTAAGTCGGTTTTATTTTGACATTATGAATACAATTTCTGCCCTCAAATGTTAATCTGAACTAAAATAAACCTTTGTTTATAACTACTACAATATCACATTTCATTTAGTCCAAGGAGCTGTTTTGTTTTATATGCTCCTAAGAAAAGTCAAGTATTGCTCAAAGTAAAAAAAAAAAAATATCATACTTAATGATGTTAGTTTTAATAAAAATATAATTAAAAAAATTAAATTTCTCTGGCATTTCTTTCTTTTTGCTGTATCGGAAACGTACCGAACCGAACCGTGACACAAGTGTATCGTATCGAACCGAACCGTGAATTTTGTGAACCGTTACACCCCTAATATATATATATATATAATCCAAATATAAATGAAAGTCAAAAGCACATTTGTAGTACATAGTCATACCACGCATATTGTCTTTCCCAACAAAAAGTGTCTTACAAATTTAAAAATCAATGTATTGTTTTATATGAATGATTAGGCAGGATTGATTTATATAAGAAACTGTTTATTTTTTTCAATAACCATGCATAAACATTATTTTCTCAAAAATACAAGCATGTACATACATGTACTCAGTCTAGCAAAGAACACATAGGAAGGTTTTTTGTTTTTTAAATCAGTGAACACTTGTAAGGTTTTTCTCCAGTGTGAATTCTCTGGTGCCGTTTTAAACGTATCGCTGTAGTAAAAGTCTTCTCACACTCAAAGCACATGTACTCTCTCACACCAGTGTGAGTTTTCTCATGTCTATGTAAAGTGTGCAGCAGTGAAAAACTCTTTCCACACACAGAACATGAATGTGGCTTCTCCTTCGTATGAACTTTTTCCACACTGAGTGCAGGTGAAAGATTTCTTGTTTCTTCTTTTCTTTAAAAATGTATTTTTAGTCTTTGAGCGACTCAAAGGTTTTCCTCCAGGTTGGACATGATGTTCCTCCTCCACTTCACTCAGTTCTTCTCTCTCCACGCTCTCTTCCATCAGATCTGAAATGAAAGAAAGATCAAATATTTTTATTTTAATTACATCAAAATAATTAAAAAAGAGAAATATGAAGTGAGAGGACATAAAAGTAATTTATTAGTTATTTATTTTTAGGATTATTTAAATGCTTCCCCCAATGGGTCTTAGTCAGGTGAATTACACAGCGACCTTTGGGGGGTCAGAGAGTGGTATGGAAGTAAAATAATGCCAAATGTTTTTGAAATAAAAAAGCCTGTTGAATTGCAGTTGTAGGTCTTGTGTTTCTCTGTCTTTCAGTGATTAGCCTATGCTTGTTAATGCTGAGATGACTCCATATTTAATATTCCCAGATTTTGCATCTCATATCATACACTTAATCACACAATCAGTCAATAGGTAGGGAAATGGGTGGTGCTTGAGGTGGTTCTGAATAAGTTCTACCCCTTGCGCCGCACCTCTTTTAATGCACTTAGACTTAATTTAGACCCTAGAAGACATAACACAGGGATAGTGGGTCGGGTAGATGACAGGACCCATCGTCAAAATTTCTGTGTCCACCACTCTAGTTCATCCAAAACAAACTAAATAGAAAATAGACTCAAAGTGCTAAATACCGGAATTATCCTTTAACAAATGAAGAGTTTGGTTCCAAAACGCGATAAACGCCATTTCTAAAAAAAAAAAATGGTTACTGCAAAAATCAGTATTGTATCTGGTTGGTATAGAAAAGTCAATGTTTAATTTGAAGTAAAATGCGATAACCCTTTCTTTCCAAACCACGACAAACGCCAGTCTCCCTTCTCTGCAGAATGCGATATATCTGCTCTCAACCAATCAGAACGCACCATTCCACGCAATGTAAACAGTAACGGCAGCGCCTTAAATACACCCGGCTTCCTAGTTCTTCTTATCTATTTTGTACTTTTCGATCAACAAACAAACAAAAAAATTAATAATTTTGATGGCATTGATGAACCTGTGGTTGTTTCTGCGGTGGGTAAGGCATCAAAATCGAATCATTTACGTGAGGAGATTAAGAAGATGAGGCACTCGGGTGGAGGAAAAATGTTTTCAATCTTCTTTACAGATCTTAATAAAAATATTATACTAATAAACTTACGTTGTTGTGTATTTTCAACAGTTTCAATATGAAAAAAAAACTTTTATATTGATTCAATGGATTAATTGCATTTTGAATAAAAAAAATGGATTTATTGCATTTTGGGGGGAAAAAATAATCGTTTTTTATAAAAAATCTTTGAAAATCAAAACCTGGATTTTTTTTGTTATTATGACCTACAAATGCTATGTGATAGTTTGAAACAGAAAATAGTGGTTAGCCTAACTAATGAACCTTATTGTAACATGTTACTGGATGTTTTGCTTAGACCTGCAGAGCCTTGTTCTCTCTTTTTTTTTTCATAATATCAAATAATCATTGTATACTGTACGTTCTATGTCTTTTACACTTTGTTTGTGTTTTGTATCATGTGTGAGGTTTTGCCAAATAAAATAAAAAATATTCCCAGATTTTGTGGCTCATATAAGGTCCAGTTCTGGTTTATTTCTTTGCCCTTGGCTGACATGTGGCATTGCTATGGCCTGCTTGTGGCCCAGATCTGGCAAACAGGAGTGGTCCGCCCAAGGGCCGTCAGTCCACGCTGCATGTGGACCAGATCATCTTTCCACGTGTGCCAGATGTGGGCCGGATCTGGGCCGACACAATTTTGCTATCTGGGTACAGTGGCCGTAGAAACTTCACAAGCTGAAAGTCTCTGATTGCGGCTTTAACTTGTTCTAATCTAACAATTTTTTATCAGCATTATCTGTCCTACATGTTTCTCTCATCCCTGTTACTACTGACATGATTTTCCTCCTCCCTTAAAATTGTGACACCCAGGAAGTGACATCATCTGAGCTCTTTCTACTGCATGATGGGAGGACAAGAAAATAATCTCAAAATTGTCTCAGTTTTTACACAAACTGCACAGTGTTGATCGGTTACCAAGGTTATTATTAGAATAATAATCTCAATAAATATTAATAACTTCTATAATTTATGAGAAATACAACTTTATCAGTAACTATAAATCAGAGTTTGCTTAAGTTATGATTACAACCATGTCAGCATGTACTTGATACAGTTTGGCGTTAACTGTTTATTGCTAAAATAATTATAATAAAAACTATATTGAAAAATGTAACAAAATAAAGAGCTAAAATAATATTTATGACCTTTACTGACCATTTGTTGAAAACAAACAAGAACATTTTGTACCAACTGTTGAACTGTTCATCTAACTGTGATGAAGTGCTTGAATGTTTCTAACATGAATGTTCTCCAGCA